TGTAAGGCTGACAAATAGGACACTGCAGATAAGATAAAAATTGTACTGTGTAAATGTGTGCCCATTCAAATGCTTTCAGTCTTTACCAAAGCATTGAATCCAGTTTAATCTAAATTATATTTTGCTAATTATACACACACACAGAGACACACACATGCGAATATATATATATACACACACACACACACACACACATATATGTATATGTATATATACACCTAAGACTTTCTCAGCTTTCCTGAAAGCTGAGCCTAGTTCTAATGAGATTTAGCTTGTCTTATTTACAGGAGCTGCACTTCTGGTTGAACTGGGTGCAAACATTTTTTCTGGAATAAAATAGTTTTCCTTGTAATTCTGCAACAATTTTCCATTAGATAGAGATCCCTTTCTTGACTGTTTCCCCCTCTCATGTGTTGTTATTTATGAGTACTGCAGTGCATGAATATTTTACATTTTCCTGTTTCTGATTGTATTGTTCTTTCCTTATTGTTAACCAGAATTTACTATTAGGAACTGACAGGAAAAATTTTTGATGCCATTGTTAATACAATATTGAGAAGCTGAAGATTTGCTGATCTCTGTCAAAACCTCTTATAAATTCTTTTCTTTTTCAAATTCACTTCCTCTTCTTCTGGCCAATTTGCAGTCCAGTGAGCCAACTTTTCAGTTATTTAATATTTCTGCACTTTAACCTTTGATGAAGTACTTGGCTTAATGCTTTTTGAAGATGTAATTCATTCTATTTTTGCTGAATCCTAGAGGATTGAAAATTCTGCAGAGCAAGTCAGGCTGTTTTTAACTTTTTGATAGTTTATATTTTTATTTACACAGAGTTGCTTTTCTCAACAACAAATAAATTAAAGGCTTATGTATATATCACTAACAAAATTTAATTAAGTGTTGTGATTAATTCCTGGGCCAATAAAACTTCCTGAAGACAAAAAAAAAAAAAAAAAAAAAAAGAAAAGCTCAAACTGTGTATATCTTCTGCACAAAAAGAAGGGCAAGAACGCAGCCAGGGTGCAGAGGAGGGTGCAGGATTTGCTGGAGAGGCAGTGTGATGGCAGCCAAGGCTGTGTATTCCTGGTGCCAGCCCTGGGCTCTGGGCCTCCGGCCGCTGCCACCATCCCAATGTTCAGTGGTGCAGTGGCCATGGGCACAGCCCCCCAGGAGCTGCCTGCCTGTTGCAGTGCAAGTTCAAGGCTGTTGGCTTCCTTGTGGATGGGTGGCAACTTCCAGCAGCTGTGATTCCTAGTGGCAGGTTTCCTAAGTGTCTGGGAGACAGAGCAAGGACTCATAGCACAGCTGGTGGATTTGAAGGTAGATTTTCTATGGTAGGCTGTCCTTGTGGCTATGGAAGACTGCAGAATCATTTTGGAGGGCAGATCTGGTTCTGTTGCTTTTTCCTGCCCCATCTGGTGCTGAAACAGCTCAAGGCAATAGCACAGAGCTAAGAAGAATGGGAAGCTGATGAGTTTCAGGGGAAGGTGTGCTTGTCCCTGAACTCTGTTACAGAGCTCTGGGACATAGAGAGCTCCATGATAGTCACAGCTTTTAAGTTATCTTTCACACACTTAAAATCACTCTAATCTAAAACTGATATTATTTATAAATGAATATCTTTGATCCTGAAGGTACCTGAGGCCCATCCTGCCTGTTTCCCCAAATGCCAGGTGTCAGTTCCACAGACTAATGGCCAGGCAGGAGGGAGAGCTGCTGAAGAAGGGTGATGTGACAAGGCTGGGCTATGCTCCCAAAAGTCTGGAGTTGGTAGAAGTGTTCATCATGAGTGCAGGTGCTTCTGTCCAACCCTGACCATGCAAGAGTTGCACTAGACTAACAAATCACTTTCCATACTTTATGGTAATCCCATCTTTCATGCTGCAGCTGCACAACTTGACCTGATGGGGCTTGTGGGAACTGAACTGCAACCTACATCAGCCCTTCCTGAGAACATTGCCTTGGTCTGAGCTTGTATGTTTTAAACTGGGTCCTTGCTCTTGAAACCCAGGTGACTTCAGGATATATGTTCAAGGATTTTGGGAATGATTTGTTTTTCTTTCTGGAATCAAATTATTTTCCACTTTCCCTGAAAGCATCCTAATTCAACTCTTCTGGTGAAGGATCATGGACATAGTGGCTTTTAAAGCTCTTGTTGGAAGCTTGTTCACCGTCTCACATCCCAAGACAGAATTAGAGGGATCCCAGCAGAGAGAGGGCTCCTGGAAGGAATGGGCAGAAGGAGACAGAGAACAGAAAAATTATACTGAGTAACATAATAACTGTATTTTAAGGGGATGGTTTATAGGACTTGAAATTTTGCTGAATCTCATATAACAAAAGGATTGTAAAAAGAAATTATAAATCACTATGTTTTCTTTATTTGCTGTTGGTCCCCCTGGCTTTTGTTGAAAGTAAATATTCATAGTTAATTTGGGTACTGGCCAAAACAATATCTTACTGCAAAGCATCATTCTTATTATAAATTTTAGAGTATTTATGAAAATGAATCAATTAGTGAGCTGGAAGAATTGAATTTCAAATGTGAAAAGAGCCTGTGTTAGTATAGCCATACACAGAAATTATGTGCACTCTGCCATAAATTATGCAGGCGTTTAGTGCTGAAATGCTGAAATACACTTCATTGCATCAGGAAGATTTCGATGGCCTTTCACAATGGAATGCTTTGAAAGATGGCTAATAACTCAGACCTATTCTGTGGAAAACATGGCTAGAAAGAAATGTATAAATGTCCTAAAATGAAGCTTTTGTCACTATTTTGCTATCATTAAAAAAGCTCAAAGTTTACTATAAGAAGACCTAGGAAGGTAAATTTTCACCCCCAAAAAGGTCTCTCTTGATAGGAAAACAGATCAACCTAATACTTTTCAAATTCCATGAAGTAATGATGGATTTTAGACATCATTATTCTAGAGAGGTCTATTTAATTCTGTTTTCAGTGAAAATGTTCTGTAGTCAGTAATCCCTTGCAGTACTGACTCACCAGCAGTGATCTTAATTCCCCCATGCATTTGTCCATTTTCCATCTTCACTCATCTTCAAAATGAAGAGACAGCTCAATAAAATAAAATAAAAAAAAACAGTTTCCTGAACAAATTTTCATCTCTTCAAAAAAGAAAAAAAAGACTCTTTTTTTTTCCTTGGGTTGATACAGAAGAACATCCCATATCACATAGTTGAAAATTAATGTGCTGATATATGCAGAAGAGGGAGTGCGTTTTTGACAGGTTGTGTTTCAGTCAAGAGAAGTAGGCAGCAGTATATAGAGTGGAAAGCAGCAGCGTAGGAAACCATGGTGATCTCGTAGGGTGATGTCCCTTGCCATCCCAGCTATCTCAGCATTTAATCTGTCATGGTTCATAAAGCAACATTTTAAAACCAGCAAGGTATCTTCCCACCATTGTTCCCACTGACAGCTCTCCTGGAACCTCCCAGCTCAACTGTTGGAAACCTTTTTCTAACTTCAGGCCTGAATACATTAAAGAACATAACATAATGCAAGGAAATAAAAAATGACTGTTCCTGATCCGCCTAGAGCTCTTTCCAAACAAGTGGTGCATTTCTGCCGCAGAGTCAGGCTCTTCTGCAGGAGCACTCGAGCAAAGAAGCAAAACATTTCCTTGGTGCATTCTCCCCACTCTTTTTGCCCCCAGAGAAAGATACTGGTTTGGGCAGAGACACCCTTCAGACTGAATACAGCCTGTGGTCCATTATTTAGCTGATACAGTCCTGTGTAATTGCTGTGGAAGAAACTTCTTCTCAGACTCTACCATGTAGCCCTTCCTGGCCCAGAGGCCAAGTGGTGTTTTTCTTGCTGACACTGAGTTCTATCTCATTTCTAGGGGAGTACCACTGAGACTTCTAGCCATTCACATAAGGGAATCTTAGACATGAATTTTGCAAAGTTCTGAATTTATCTTGCTGTATTGTTGCCTCTTGTCTTTCTAAACAGGATTCCACATTTTATGCCACACTGTGAGGCTAATTATTCTCAATTTATTTGCAGAGCCCTGCATTTGCCATCTATTATTCCTGAAATATAAAATGATCTAAATTCTTTTATATCTGGCTGCACTACCTAATTATTCCTCATTTGTTTTTATTCTCTTCCAATTTAGTATCATCTGCAAAGTTGGAAATCATGTTTTCATATCATAATTAGACCTCTAAGAACCTTAGAAAGCTGCTTGGTGAATAAGCATGAAAAGGGCTTTTTTCTCCCCTTCTCCTATTTTAATTTTAATGGAGATTTAAAGTGAGACAATAAATTAGAAATGCATGAAATTATGAGCTAAAACATTTCAGTTGTTTGCCTGTAGGCCATAATGTTGCAACAAACAGAAGTGATATGAAGAAGTAGTTATGATAAGAAAGTTGGTTAGGAATAACTGATAGGGATGTAGAAGATGAGCTGACATAGCCCAGCTGCATTAGAAGATGTACTTGTTTGGACAGTGTATTGATGGTGTCAGGAGCCTAAAAGTTCCTGTTTTGCCCCAGCTACATGAAGCCAATGTGTAGAGCAGTCAATTAGGTGCTGTGACTTTGATGCAGAATTTTCTACCTTAAGAAAGTAGTTTTCTACCTCCAACATAAAGATTATCTGACTTTTAACATATGGCTTATAGTATTTTCTGCACCTTAGAGATAACAGAAAAGATATTAGCACTGGTATGACAGAAGAGGGCTTCTTTACTTGTGTTGCTTAGCACAATGTAGCAGCAATCAACCACTCGGATGTTTTCTAAAGCAAGAAAGGCAGAGCAACTCAGTAGCCCTTTTTCAGTCATCTGTATATCTGGAACTCTCTATCAGACAGAGAAGGAGCACCATGTAGTATTGGTCTTTTCTTTGTCCCCCTTTTGCTCAAGTTGTAGCAGTTGAACGCATTGTTTCAGGAGTTACAGACCTGTTGGCAATTCAAACCAAATCCCTTTCAATCCAAACCATTCCATGATTCTGGGGTTTTTTTCCCAAAGGTATAGAAACAGAACGAGAGAATCACTGCCTTACAAACAAGCAAACAAAAGAACAAAGCAGGTAGAAGATCTCTCTCCACTGCCCCTACTTCAGTCTGTGTTCTTCTGAACAAGACTAATGTTGGGATCATTATGCCAACTCATATGCCCGCTCAGAAGAGGAGCAAATCTGATGGACCAAGAAGTACAGGATTAGCTCTGAAGACACTGACCCTGTTCAGACCCTGAATTTCTCTTCATTTCCAGGTGGAAGAGATGATCTGCACTATAAACACATAACCATCCTCAGCTAATCTCCAGCAGGAAATCACAGAGTGTTTCTGTGCAAGTTCAGTCAGGTGCAGACTGCATTTGTGATGGTAAGTTTGTGTTGGCTGTGATATCCTCCTCTTTCCAGTTCAGACAGTGCTTAGAACAGAGAAGCTGCGTTAAATTTCTCCCTCATGTTCCATGCCTTGGCTTCATCGTGAGAAATCATAAAATTAAGGGACAGGCTACAGGATATCGGTCATGGCTTGATGTTGGATGATTTGTTGCTCTTGAAAAGCCTATCATGAAGAGCGAAGCTTATTGTGCAAGGACACTTCCATTGGCAGTGGGTGCAACAAAGGATTTTGTGAATGAGACTGGGAAGGCCATGACACTTGTGGAATCCATCTGGTGATCCAAACATCTGTGGGCCTGATTCTGACTTCCCCAATGGTGTCAGTCAAGACTAGCCCCTTCAGAACAATTGCACTAGTGACAATATTGACACGTATATGACACAAGAGATCAGGGTCATGTCAGATATGCCAGAAGGACATATTATTTATTGCTGTCTGTGGATTCTTTTGGCCCCCACTTTTTAGGCACATTTAATTACAGATGCAAGTTAAGTCATTTATATGTCTTCCTGACTGATAGATACATTGATTTATGTCCTAGCTGCACAATTATGTCCACAGGTGTCCAGCTCTTGTTCTGAGCCAGCATAGGTATGGCACTTCAGCAACTTTATCTCTTCCCTCTAGGATGCCAAAAAAGGTTATGTCCACAGGTGTCCAGCTGTTGTTTTGAGCCAGCAGAAGGAATGCATAGGTATGGCACTTCAGCAACTTTATCTCTTCCCTCTAGGATGCCAAAAAAGAAGAAACACATTTTAAAAAAATCCAATTGATCCTAATAAGATAATATATTTAAATGAAATTATTAAATATCTTATCTGCAGGACAAGGTTAAGGGCATTTGTGTAATGTAATTTCATATATTTCTTTAAATCTATCAGAAGTTACTCTTAATTGCAGCTTCAGCTATAAATTTACAAGGTTTTGAGTGGCTTAGCTTTGGATGATGACACTCCTGCAAAATCAGTGATGTTCCTGGGTGAGTGAGTAATTTATCTTGAAAACTAAAAATGTTCATGAAAAGGTTGCAATGAACACTTTAAAGTCTGACTCTGTTTCTGTAGAGATCACACTGAATATGGATTAAATTGTTCTTTGATTGAATGATTAGTCTCCTTAATCTAACATAGACTTTCTCTTCCTTCATGAGATGACTCAAAGACTTCAAAGGGAGTTAATTAAAAACTACAGATTTCTGCAAAAATTCTATTAAACATCAACACATGCCTAATTTATTTATTTATTTATTTTAATTCTGGAACACTTTCAAGCATATCCATTATTTCTTTAAATATTCAGAATCATTCTCAATGAAACTCAATACGTTACAGCAATGTGGATATTATTCATATGTCATTAAAATATTAAGGCAAGTCTAAGAATTTAAGAATTGTTGTCCTAGTTAAGGGCAAATTTGGGAGGAAACTTTTGAAGTGGTCTGTTCTATAAAGCAAATTCAAGCAGCCCTTCCCCCTACCAGTTCAGGAGACATAAATCTCCTCAGAGAAAAGTGGGAAAAAAATGTTTATTTAACAAGCAAAGTACTCACAAACATGAAAAATGAATACTATTGTACCATGGAACCTCTCATTGTTCTGAAGAGATGGCCAATTCAGAAAGTCCTTCTGTGGATTGGAGAGATTCCTTGTCGTGGCGCTGTCCTCGGCTTTCTCTCGGTCTCTCCGGGGCTCGGGTCCGGTGTCCTGGCCACAGTGCAGCTTGGGGGACCCCGGACAATGGTGTTCCTGGGCTGAACAATAGCTGAACAGTTCCAAACATCTTCTGGCCTCAGCTAACTTAAAAAATCTAACTAAAAGCAAAGGAGAGCTCTCTCCTGCTGTCTGTGCTGCAGACAACACACCGAGAGAGAGCTGAAGCTCTTATCTCTGTGTTTGTGAATACAGCCATGAAAAATTCCACCACTTTTCCTTCTCCCCACTTCACTCTCGGAACCAGTCTTAGAGGGGCAGAACTTAATATCCAGCACAAACAGAGCAGAGGATTGGGAATACAAGCATCATAAAGTCACCCACCCTAGAACAATTGTGCAAAAGGGAAAAAAAAAAAAAAAAAAAAGGGACAAGCTAGCACAGAGGTGTTTTCTATAGCAAGAATTTGTCCTAAGTTTCCAGTGCTTTCTTTGCCTGTATTCCCCCAGCCCCCTCTATCCAGCACTATCCAAAATATAAAGAGCTGCAGAAAGAATCTACTCTAACTTTCTACAAATTTTATCTGCAAATTATATTCAACATAATTAAGAAGGAATTACACCAAATTTCTACATTACACCTGGATTTAGTGGAGAGAGCTGTGAAGCAGTTTTGAAGAAACTGGTGTGTTCTTAGGCTCTTTGTGATGGAAATTCCTTCAGATTTCATGGTTTTGTCATGCTTGAGATCCTGTGTACTGCACTGATCAGCCATAAAACTGTCCTTTATTTGAAATTAAATGTGGAGAAGTTTAAATTGTTCTGTGTGTATACAGACATAAGTAGCTCATCTTTGGCAGTGCTCAGATTATTTATACTGCAGCTGCAGTAAATTTGAGTTGCACCAAATGTAGCTCTCTAAATGTCAGCTTGATTTTCTCAAGACCTACTTCTACTTTTGACGTGTTATAAATATTACTTGTTACAGCTGCTAAAACTCTTCAAAAGAGGAATATTGGTCTGGGTGCAGAAATATGCATCATAACAGGACATTCATTTATATTCTTCCAAAAACATTAACAAAATTACCTTTGTTATGTACATTTAAAGATTTTGGGATTGTGGGAATTCACCTTCTCCATCAGTAGTTACACATAAATTTCCTATAACTTCTGATGACTGCAGTTAGTGTTAATGTAAATGTTTGGTTCATATGTATATCCAACATGGCAATCTTTCCTAAAACTAAATTCATGCAATCCAGTCCAGGAAATGTTAATTTAAAAGCTGAAAAATTTAAAAAAAACCCAAAGAAAATATGAATTTCAATTTTTACTGATTATATTAATTTTTTATTGTCTCCCAAACATGTCTACTTTTTTGTTTTAGTAACAAAAAGCAAGAAGATAATTTGCTGTTTATAATTTAAGAACTTCATTTGCTTCCAGGCAATGGGATGGTCCATAATTCAAAGCTTAAAAGTGAAAAGGAGATTCCAGCTTTTTTTTTAGATACTCAGAAAACACTGAGCACAGTCTCAGTTCGAATTATTTATTCATTGAGACAAATAAAAGGTTCAACACTGTGTATGAGGTGGATTAAAATAATATTGATTGCAATTTTCTTGACAAATAACAAAGTAGAAATAAGAATTTGTATTTATGTGGAACAGATCAGTCACATTTGGAAGAAAAATGACCTATCTCAGAAAACATTTTCTAAGTATGCAGGTAACTCTTAAACTTCAAAGGGCCCTCTTTCTCCCATCATGCAATTACAGCCAAATATTTTTGCTTGGGTCAGGTAAAAAAAAATCTATATTTTTTTGCTGTAGAGTTTTTGAGACCCCTGTTGTTTTGTTTATTACTGTGGATGTTAATTCCACAATGGGGCAGCAGCAGTGTGACAGACCTTGCCCTTCTGCAGCTGGGACTGTCACATAACACTGATTTTAGATACTGTTTGTTTTCTTCTCTGACCAGTCACCTTTAATTACCCAAAGGTAATTAAAGCTTCATTTCTTTGTAATCAAGAAGCTGGTGTTCTAGAGTGAAAAAGGTATTTTTTGTTGGGTTTTCACTGGTTGCCTTAGATACCTAAACAAGGGACTGTTAGAATGGGATGGTATAATGAAATAAATGTCAGTTTGGGCAAAGCTCCACAGAAATTTTATTTATTTATAAGTTTTTCGGCTTCATATATTCATTTCTGAAATACTTCCAAACCATTTTATTGACTATGTTAAGAGTCTATTTTTTATTGATCTTGCAGATCACTCATTGAAATTTTCACCAGAGTTACATCAGCACATATCATCTTAGTGCCATGGTTTTATTATTAAAACTTTAGTTATGCTTCAGTACTAGTCAAACCCAAATCCAGCCATGTTTGTGACTCTTCTTGGCCACCCCCAGACTCCAGAGGAGTCAGTGGTTGGTGCCTCCTGGAGGGGTGATGCAGAGTGGTGCTCAGCCCCTGAAATCTCACAGGCATGTTCCAGGAGGCAAAGTCTGTTCCACATAGTGTGGGGTGAATTGGTAGCTATTGATATAGTCAGCAAAGTGTTCTGTACAAATCAAAGCAGAAATTGCACTGTGCTTTAGGTTCAAGCATAGAAAAGAAAAAATTGATTTTGATCTTTAGTAAATATTCCAATTTAATTTATGAGAATATGAAAAGCTTGTCATGTATTAGTCTGTACCAGCCCTTTTACCTGTGCTAAGACATAGAAGACCTGCAAAGAGATGAGAATAATTTCTATATGAGATGGAAACGCAAGAGAAAAAGAAATCAGTTCAGCTAGAACATTCCAAAACAAATTCATGCTCTACTGAAGGATCAAGTACAAGGACTTTGAACATTTGGGTTAGCTGGGAGACATAATCTGAATTAGATCCACTTGAAAGGGTGAAAAAGCATCCCTGCTCTATCCAGTAATGCCACAAGTCTTCAGCTTTTGTGGTTGCTTTATTAATGCAGCATCCTGCTTTCAATAAGCAATGTTTACATTTCAATTGTAGCTTCCAGCTTGAGCTCACAGTTCATATTTTTTTATAGCTGTTAAGTTCCATTGCATTGAAGCCCAGTTTAATTCTTCCTCTTGAGTCTGCTATGTAATCTTGATTTCTTAAGCATATTTTCTAGCTGTGGTATTCTCTTATTAGACGCAGGATATTATGACATTTCCAAAATGCTTTCTATTTATAACTTAACATTATAGAATGTCAAGAATAATCAAAAGCCTAGAGAGATGACAGAGAAAAATCCCATTCATATTATCTTTCCAGGTCACATTTCTGAGTTCTGCTTAAAATGCCGTCTTCAG